CCCAATACCCTGTACATCTGTTGGCGCGGCATGGCTCGGCAACATCGGTTGACCTTTCGATGACACGACCCTGTTTGGGTAACCTCGACTGTCCGATATGTATGACTCCCTGGCGTACCGGTCGATGCAATCACTACTCCACCGACCGAACTTTTTTACTTTGCTCCTATCAATTCCGGCCTCTATCATCCATTGGCATCCGCCTGCTCTCATACTATGCAACGAATATGATCGCCACTCCTGAACCCCCGCCTTTGATAGATCTCTCTTCAGGGCCTCCCGGAAGTATCTTTGAGCCCAGGGCTCCCCTGCCTCGTTGACGCAGAGTCGATCCGACGCAGTTCCACCCTGGATAGACCTGACTTTGAGCAGGAATTCGGCCGCTCGAACAGGGCATATCAGCTCAACACTATCATCACCTGATTCAAGTCTACCCAGCCGGCGTGCGGTCCCGCACTGCTGCTGGTCAGTCTTAGACCCTTTTATATATATTGATACACCTTCGGGGTCCACGTGGATGTCGCTAATGTTCACACTCAGCAATTCCTCTCCTCTTAATAGGAACCACGTCCCCAGGGCATAGCAAGCGACCCGTATCCTCCCGCTAATGCCTGCTGCTGCCGTAGCTAGGCTTCGCAGAACCTCTAACGTCATGGGTCTCGCCTGCCTAGGGGGAGATTTCACCGCCGCATCCAGTTCGGCGGCGTGGCCCGGTCTAGAGAGACGACGCGCCCGCTTGGCATTACCTCTTGCTGGCGATCTTGCCGCACTGGGACGCATTTGGACATATATGAACGACCCCAACCTCGCAACCGACGACCGATGGGGGGAAAGCCAACGCACCCACATGAACCCTTCCCACCATCAGTCACAAGGTTAGACCCCCCCGATCCGCGCAACTAGCGGTGCTAGTCTTAGACTAGTACCCTAGCACTAAGTCAGCTCGCCCTGTAACGGGCAGCCTGCTCACTCGGGAAAAAGGGAACAACCCTCAGCCCCCTGGCTGACCTGCGTGACAACTAGCCTAGCTGTTGCCACAGACAAATTCGCGCATGTTATAGAGGAATCCGACGTGAATAGAGGAGCCGCCTGCTACACTCTTTCAACGCAACCGTATCCTCCGATAACGTAAAAAAAATGCTGAAACCGAACCCTCCCACCAGAAGGGCAGAATGAAAGGAAACCCCTGCACAGCGACCCCAGTGAGGATCCGTCCGGACATCCTAAGCCAGCCAGCCGTCCGGAAACAACACGTAACAGTAATACTCAGCCACAATTAATTGAAGGAATACAGGGCGAGCATCCTCTGCCCCTTCAGACAGACTCACGCAATCATCCAGAACTTCTCGTCACGCGGCGGACATACGGTACGGCTTGCGCCCCTCAATTCCACCGGAATACCGCCAGAGGACAGAGGTGCTGCCATTCGGCTCAGCCTATCAGCAATACCGTTGGCACAACCACTAACGTGGGAGTACGACATCGAAAGGACTCTCATATCACAGGCGCACTCCCATGCAAACTCCGCCATTATCGCATTGACGGATGGGGAGCTAGATCTCAGCTTGAGCGCCGCACCAATTGCCGTCCGAAAGTCACTGCGACATAGTAGAGACACTGACAGAGGCAGCCGCTTCCTCCATAACCGCACACCAACCAGCAGGGCAAGCGCCTCCCACAGACCCTGATATCTATGATCGCCAACCGCGGCTCCGAACTTCTCCACGTCATGCTGCGAAATCGTGTCGTGGAAGTAGTATTCAATAGAGCCATCGATAGATAGAAAACCACCGAGGCCCCACGGGGAGGCGTCGACAACCAGCTCAGCCACCGGCCCCGGCTCAGATGGAAGCCAGTACTCCCTCGAAAAGAGCCGCTCGGACGCCTCCGCCACACGGTGCGCTCTCTCCAGGAAGCATTTGAACCACAGCAACGACCGCCGAACAGAGCTCACTAGGACCCAACTGGGGGATTTCCGACATTTACCTTCAGCAGCACTGACTGCCTTCCAGAGTGGTCCCAAGAGGGAATGGACGAAGGGGACCACTTGGCCAGACCAACACAGCTTGCCGCATAGCCGCCGAAGCAGTTTGGAGCAAACAGCAGGCCCAGAAGACAGAGCCTTCTCAGCCAGCTCCAACATACTTAGGAGCTTGTCTGACGGGACAGATACACGCAGGCAACTGCTCCTGACTGAAAACCGGAATCCGATCCATGTCAGGTTTGTTCCCCGTTGGAATTTGTGGTGGCTGTAGGGCAGTCCCAGAGCACCCCAAAGAAGAATAGGCAAGGCGAACAACACCGTTCTCCTCTCCGCAGACAGTGCATGGACTGCAATGTTGGGATCATCAACAAAGCAAGATATGCGGCCTTCACTTGGCTTATAGAGCAATTGCCCCCACCGGCACGCCGCGCTGGAATAACGGCACCAGACCAGGGGACTGGATTTCACGCCGAACATGAGGACGTGGAATAAAATCCAGACCCCCTGGAAGAAACAAATGTGAAACCTCCGCTCAGCCGAATTGATGGGAATCAATTTGAAGGCGTTCTGAAAGTCGGCCGATAGACACTCAATTCCCGACCAACCGCCAATCTCAGCCAGTTCGTGGACATTCTGAACCGCATCCGCGATCCTCGGTAAGACTATCCTCTCCGAACACTTCACCAACGTATTTGAACGGTTTTCCCTGGCATCACAGATAAGCCGAAACTTGGGAGGTGAGGTATGAGGTTTGGTAGCCAGGGCGATCTTCGTGACAACGATATCCTTGCTACCGACAGCCTCGCAGAGAGCATCCACGTTGTCGAAGAAAGAGCAGAACCCAGCCTGCCGTTCGTTCTTGAGCAACGCCCAAGTATTGTCTGGGTCGGACTCCGCGGAACGGTAGTTAGAACAGGACGTCGGGGATGCCGATACATGGGACTCGACCCAGTCTCTCCATTCGTCATCGGCAGGAGCGTCGGCCGTCGTGGACGCCGGGAACCATCCACCAGGAGACAGGTCCCTAGAAATACCAACAGGCGCTCCCTCGCGGAGCCACTCATGTAGATCAGAGTCGCCGTCACCCGCCAGTTCACCGACGATCCTCCACAAACCCGGCCTCAGGGGGGTGTTTGGATTGGACTGAACCTTGTCAGACGCAGAAGCCCGCCCGATTCGGACAATCGCATTGCGGGCCTCCTCAACCACTGACTCCGGCAAGGCCGAGAACGTACCATCCTCGCCTAGTGCAGCCTTGACGGCATCCATGTTTTTAGTAATAATATCTTCAAATGCGGTGCGTAGCTTGCTCATCCTCACACGACCGTCGGGGAGAAACTTAGTAGCGTCGTACGCACGACGGAGACCACTAGCATATTCAGGGATAGAAGGAGACTTAGTATTGCTACATGTCAACAACGGCCGGCCGTCGCTTTCGGCCGATGAATCATTAGTGCAATAATCAGTAGACGAGAGAACAGAAGGGGGGCCGCCGAAGGCCGCGACTCAGGCACGCCGCGCCCGGTTCTCAGGTGGGGCTCCCTCAGGCTTGCTTCCTGCCAGCTCGCCCTTCGATGCCACCGACGCTCTTGCCGCTGCTGCCTTGGGGCACAGGTTTCGACCGCGAGGAAGATCATGTCGGCCCTTACAGCCCTGGCACAGGTGGATGCGGCCATCCTTGCACTTGTCCCCTGTGTGACGACCGTCCTGGTAAGCATAGCAGAATTGCTGACTCACGTCCTTCGACGCTCTTTGCCTCGGGTCACGGCCTTTTCCCGACTTTTGGGGACCCTCCTTATCCGTGAAATGAAAGCGCATAACCTTGTGGTCTACGTGGCACCTCCAAAACGCCGCATCGTCAGCAGCCAATACGAAGCACTCACCCCACGACAGTTGGGGATTCGCGTCTCTGTATGAACCGATGTGAGAGCTCCGCATGACCTCATCGGCTTCAACCACCACAGACCAGTAGTCGCCAAAGGTCTCAGTAAGACCCTCAACTGCACTCTTGTAACGCTCGAAGTCAGCGAAGCTGCCCTGCTTCAGCATCACCATAGCATGCTTGAAGATGACGAAGCTTTCCCTCCACTGTGCCAAAGAGGGCGTTGAGACCGAGATCACTTTCGTCGGAACGCCGTCATCCAAAGTCCATCTCTTAGTCTTCTCCTCTCTCAGCCTCTTTCGCTGGCCCGGAGTCCACACTCGGAAATCGACGAACGGAGACTCATCCTCTAACAGTCGAGACTGGAGCGCCGACAGTTGTTCCCGGGTCGGGATCTGGGGAACCGGAACATCGCCATAAAGCTGCTTGAAGAACTTCAGACGCGAACTATAGTCCTCAATCGCCAACAGCGCGAACGAGCCGTCGTCAACGGAATCCACAAACAAACTCATTTTGAGGCGTTTGGGCTCTACCTGCTGTGCGCCAGATGGGGCCGCCCTTGCACCGCCAGCCGCCGGGGTGCCGGCCTCCATAGTAGTGCGTGACGCCAGTAGGAGCCCACACTGTTCCCGACAGAGATCATACAGCAGCATTACCTTGCCCTTCTGCACCGCATTGTCGAGGGAGTTTACTGCAGTTGTTACCGCTTTAGCGTTAACGAAGGCAAAATTGGAAATGAGCGGCATGCAGTCCTTCGCGCCGCCGAGCGCTACCGAGACCTTCTCCCATGTCTTATCGTCAACATCCGCCTTCCCCTTCAGATCTTCGATGGAGATCCTCGCGCGATCAACTCTGCCCATGAGAGAAGACTTGGACGACCCCGAACTCGATTTTTTGGCTGGATCCATAAAAAAAGATCGGACAATCTCAGACGCAACTAACAGACGAGTGAATTAAATAGGTAACATCACCTCGACTCTCAGACCTAGTTAGTAATGTACGATGCAAACACATGCCGTATCGTCAACTCATCATCGACATCACCCAGCTGCCAGATCTTGCCCACTTGCAAATCCTCCGTCCCCTCGCGCCGATCTTGAACTCTTAAGCAAGGGTCCTTGCTTTTCCAGTTCTGGTGTGAGCTCAGTAGTAGAGCGGCTGACTGCAGATCAGCAGGTACTCGGCTCAAACCCGGGCGCGCCCTTTGTAGTCGGTATGTGAACAGCTATTTTCGTGAAGAACAGCTACAGAAAACGAATTGAACTTATTCTTTGAGGCTCATTCGGGTGTGTAGCTCAGTGGGAGAGCGGCTAACTGCAGATCAGCAGGTCCTCGGATCAAATCCGGGCGCGCACTTCGTAGTCGGTATGTAAACAGCTACTCTTGTGAAGAACAGCTACAAAAAACGAGATGGACTTATTTTTTGGGGCTCGTTCGGGTGTAAAGCTCAGTGGGAGAGCGGCTAACTGCAGATCAGCAGGTCCTCGGTTCGTATCCGGGCGCGCCCTTTGTAGTCGGTGTGAACAGCTATTTTCTCGAAGAACAGCTACAGAAGACGAACTGGACTTATTTTTTCGCAGCTCATTTTGGGTGTGTAGCTCAGTGGTAGAGCGGCTGACTGCAGATCAGCAGGTCCTCGGTTCAACTCCGGGCGCGCCCTTCGTAGTCGGTATGTGAACAGCTATTTTCGTGAAGAACAGCTACAGAAAACGAATTGAACTTATTCTTTGAGGCTCATTCGGGTGTGTAGCTCAGTGGTAGAGCGGCTGACTGGAGATTAGCAGGTCCTCGGATCAAATCCGGGCGCGCACTTCGTAGTCGGTATGTGAACAGCTATTTTTCGTGAAGAACAGCTACAAAAAAACGAGATGGACTTATTTTTTTGGGGCTCGTTCGGGTGTAAAAAGCTCAGTGGGAGAGCGGCTAACTGCAGAGCAGCAGGTCCTCGGTTCGTATCCGGGCGCGCCTTTTTGTAGTCGGTGTGAACAGCTATTTTCTCGAAGAACAGCTACAGAAGACGAACTGGACTTATTTTTCGTAGCTCATTCGGGTGTGTAGCTCAGTGGTAGAGCGGCTGACTGCAGATCAGCAGGTCCTCGGTTCAAATGCGGGAGTGCCCTTCGTAGTCGGTATGTGAACAGCTACTTTCGTGAAGAACGGCTACAGAAAACGAATTGGACAATATTTTTCGTAGCTCGTTCTGGTGTGAGCTCAGTGGTAGAGCGGCTGACTGCAGATCAGAAGGTCCTCGGTTCAAATCCGGGCGCGCACTTCGTAGTCGGTATGTAAACAGCTACTCTTGTGAAGAACAGCTACAAAAAACAAGATGGACTTATTTTTTGGGGCTCGTTCGGGTGTAAAGCTCAGTGGGAGAGCGGCTAACTGCAGATCAGCAGGTCCTCGGTTCGTATCCGGGCGCGCCCTTTGTAGTCGGTGTGAACAGCTATTTTCTCGAAGAACAGCTACAGAAGACGAACTGGACTTATTTTTCGCAGCTCATTTGGGTGTGAAGCTCAGTGGTAGAGCGGCTGACTGTAGATCAGCAAGTCCTCGGTTCAACTCCGGGTGCGCCCTTCATAGTCGGTATGTGAACAGCTATTTTCGTGAAGAACAGCTACAGAAAACGAGATGGACTTATTCTTCATGGCTCATTCGGGTGTGTAGCTCAGTGGTAGAGCGGCTGACTGCAGATCAGCAGGTCCTTAGCTTCCGATGGTAACCTCCGATCCGGCCGAACCCTCCATCTTTTGGAAGTGTGCAATGCACACTGTGCATTTCCCGGGAAGCGTCAGAACATTGTACTCATTGAGCACCCGGCTTTGGAACTACCAGTAGATTAGCTGTGCGACCGCTCGAGGTTTCCTTGAATCGACCTCTGGTCTACTCGCCTGAGGCGAGTCACCTCTTAGTCTCGTAGGTGGTCCATTACCAGATTTGGATCAGAAAGAGGGGATAACGCCTGTCGTTATCCGATGAGCGAAGAGAACAAATATGATACTTCTGCAATTAAAAAACATATCGACCTTGAAAGCGGCATCGTTTTGGGAGATTAATACGGGCTATAGTCATGTCGGCTTTCGCTCTCGCTCGCCACGCCTAAGCTGTGGAGAAGTTAAGATTGAGGATGAGCGTTGCATTGCCTGGTGATCGTGCTGCCAGGATTCCGGTGACTGAGAATGGCTCTGCCTCTGGGTCGTAGGCTCTTAAAGATGTACTCGATCGGTAGTATGCAGTCTAATCGACCAGACGAGGACGATTCATATAAGCATGAAGGGCCTTCATTGAAGGCGGATACCCGAGTAACCAGGCGAGAGCCTGCACCTCCCCACTTCGAGGGAGTTCCTAGCAGTGGTGCGGAAGAGCTCGTAGGGGATGATCCTCAGGCTACACGTGGTAGCAGCCAGACCAGCATCGCAATAGACATGCCAGGGACAATTCGTCAGGATCAAGGGTCTGGCATACTCTTGGAAGTATCCGCATAATGCTGGTGCCCCTGGCTCAGTGATCGAAACGAAACCCAAACCATCAGGCGCTTTGCGAGCGAGCATCCCCGCGCTTTCGACTAGACTGGGATTGTCATGTACATCGCTTCTCGGATACACGGCAGCGTTCGACCATTCTCCTCGCACCGCATGCGATATTACAAACGCTATTCAACGTGATTCTGAGTACGTTCGCTATGCTATGGCGAGGACTGTCGTGAAAGACTGACTGAAAGAGCCTCAGCTGATGATCGCGGACGAATGAAATAATGTGTAATGGTAGTGTCGATCATTGCAGAACTGTGCTGAACGAGTAGCCGAATGGCAATGCTGAGACGCAAAATGGTGATTGAGTACACCGGAAGAGAAAGATAAACTGGGCGGCTACTGAGATACACCAACACGGGCACGCATGGTTCTAATGGCAGGGTCATTAATCTGGTCCGCAATTGCAGTCGACCCGCCGCCGCCATACTAGGCCCCGAGCTATCTGCAGCCGCCATCACCGCCATCACCGCCAGCGCCTCCATCTCCACCACCCCTCCTCCACCTCCGCCACCATCCCCGCCGCCGCCACCGCCGGGATAGCCAGAACCACCACTACCACCGCGACCACCGCCATTACCGCCGGCAGCGCCGCTTTCCCCAGAAGCACCCGCACAACCACCACGACCACCACGACCTCCACGGCCGGTACGACCATCGCTCCCAGCTTGACCGTCGCCGCCACGACCTTGCAGGAAGCGCCCACGGCGGAAGGAATCGCGAGGGGCATCATTCGACAGCATACGGGCGTCGGCGCCATGATCCTGCGCAATGCGGGGATTGAACTTTTTCACATCGGTGGCCTTTGGCACCTTCGTCTTGGACGAAGATAACAAC